ATCATTAACATATCATACAAATATATATATATATATATATATATAAATAATAGGCTTCATTATATATTGTATTATATAATGTTGTGCGCTATCTGTCACGCCCACTGAAGGCTCGTCAGTAAATCATACGTGTGCTGAAGTGAACTAACCCTGGAACATAACCTGCTCCGGAGCAGGTTATCTTCAGAGAGCAAGTTACTATGGTTACTTACATACCCTGAAAGTAACCTCCGATTTTGGAACCGAAAGCTGAGGTTATCCGCTCGCTTATCCTCAAACATACCCGGGTATGTCACATAACCTGCTTTTTGGAATACCCCCCAGAAAACATACACTGCAGAAACACACATGAAACCACCATCATAAATAATAAAATTAAGTAATAAAAGTTATGTTGGTGAAACATCCCGTTCATTAAAGGAAAGGTTTACAGAACATAGAAGTACAATAAATAGAAAGGATCTAAAAAGTCCTGTTGCAAGACATTTTTGTGAATGTAACCATAATATGTCATCTTCTTTTTTTCTTGGAATTTAAAAGATTAAGCCGAATTCAAGAGGTGGTAACATTGATTGCATAAGAAAGAAGCTTTTTTATTTTTTATTTGAAAAGTCAGTTTCCAAAAGGTATGAAAGAGGATTTTTCTCTTAAAGAGTTTCTGTAATGGTGGTTTCATGTGTGTTGCTGCAGTGCATGATTACTAAAAAAACTTCACAGATCATGTTTTCAAGTCATTTCAAAGTTTAATGTGACATGATATAAAGCGGTGGTCTCTAAGTAGGTGAGTTTTTTAATTACTTTCAATTAGTTTATTATTTATTAATTCAGATCAGTTTGCGGATACAGAACTGCATGAAAACGAGATGCAGGTTTTATCGCATGAATAGCTCAATAGGCCAATCATAGCACAATGGATGCACTGCCTTCTTTCATGTGACTTGAAAAAAAAACAAGTGATTTGTACACTTTTCATATGCCATTTTTCAGAATATTTGTGTCGTTTTATTTTTATACAGTGGCGCTGCCTCCTTTGCCTCCTCAGAGGAAAAACCCCTGATATTAGCTTGTCTTACATTCACATATACATGTTATGGACACAAATTGGCCCAGTTCATTATTAGAAAACAACTCAACGCCATGCATGCATCTTGTTGCATTTTCATAATAAGTTGTTTATTGAAGCAATTTGCATCACCATTTAATAAGTCAGTCGTCTGTTGCCATGGCCAACAGGTGGTAATTGTCTCATCCGACATTAGCATATTTCTCAAACCGCTTTCCTGGGTATAAAAGCTCCATTTAGTGTTCTTTTCAGATTTCAGCAGAAGTGGGCTTGCACTTATTTAAAATACTTGATGGATAAAAATAGAGACACTGAAAGCTAAGGTGTGCATGTGCAACATCTTCCATGAAGATTATTTTCTTCCCTGCTTTCTTGCTTTAAAGCACTGAATCTACTAATGAACATTTTTTAATAAGATCCCACTGTGTGCTCCACTAATGAAGGCTTTTTACTGTGAGGGCTGAGCGTGGACAGGCGTGCAGAAACACATGAGTGCAATGTGACATTCAGGCTGCAGGAGTGCAGATAAGAACGACTGTGGGTTCAGGCTGACCTGGAAGCCACATTCAAAGATGCTGACAGCCAATAAAAGACACAATTATGTGGTCTGTTCGAGCTCATTAAAGGTAAAGGGTAACAGAGGCTATTTAAATGCCTATATGTGGTTTTCTATATAAGGTTTGCCTGTTAGTCACTTATCAGTTCAGAATGGAGCTTTATATCAGAGCTTTATATCTTTATATCAGTTTATCAGAGATGTTATTAAAATATCTTAACACTCTCATGCCAATTCATGAGACAAGGAAACTAGTCTATTAATTAAATAAGTTGGGAAACTTAACCAAAAGCATGCATTAAAATTAGTGCAATATTCACAATGTTGTCTAGTTTTATATCGCCCGCAAATCAGTGGAAATATATAGCAAATATTCAATAAATCATTAGCTCTAGTCCACAGCTCTCCCAACACTGAATGAAGGCTGACAAAACTACTCTGAAAATAGCTTGACAAAATAGTATGAACCATGACAACAGACCACCACACATGTGGCATAAACCACAAGCATCAATATGATAGCTCAAAATGCATTGCTTCAATTT